AGACAACATCCAGCCAATCTTTTCAATTTAAGCTTTCAACCTTGAGACTAAGTATCTCAATTCATTCTGAAACCTCACCGGACCCGAACCAACTACCCCGACAAGTCACATAACAGCTATAAAGCTAAATGATCAGTAAATAGGGGAACGAGGCTACAACTTTCAAAATAACCGGTCGGGTCATTACACTAACCTTCTTTGGGGACCCATCTTGGTGCGATATGGCTGTGTTATATGCATATATACTGCGCACCCAAATTTTTTTAAATGTGATATATTAGGTTCATGACCCAAAACTAATCACACCGGGGAATATTTATGATAATTTATCGGTTTGAGGCGAGCTAGCATTGCTGCATGCAAAATTGCATGACCCTAAACAGAAATGGGTAACCTCGTTTTCATGAGTAACAGTCTTGCTATCAATTACAGACGTTTAATCAAAGATTCTGAAAGGCCATTTTGAGTGTGAACATGAGCTACATGAAGTTTCACTTTTATCCCAATTGATAAGCAATAATCATTAAGTGCTTGGGATGAAAACTCAGCAGCATTATCAAGTCTAATAGACTTAATTGGATTATCGAGGAATTGTGCCTGTAATCGAATTATTTATGCCATTAATTTTGCAAATGCTAGGTTGCGAGATGACAATAGGCACACATGAGACCAATCTAGAAGATGCATCTATTAAGACTATAAAATATCTAAATGACCCACTAGGTGGGTGAATAGGTCCATAAATGTCCCCTTGTATACGTTTCAAAAACGTAGGGGACTCAATCACAACCTTTGTTGGTGATGGTCTAATAATTAACTTATCTTGATAACAAGAAGTGCAAGAAAATTCATTATTTAAAAGAATCTTTAAATTCTTTAATGGATGCCCATTTGAGTTCTCTATAATTCGTCTCATCATAATTGATCCAGGATGTCCCAATCGATCATGCTAAGTACAAAAGTATTGGGATCAGTCCTTTTGGTTTATGATAGAATGTGCCCTTAATTGCACGAATTCTTGTCCAATACAGGCCACAAGATAAAGATGGGAACTTCTCAATAAACCTTTTCTGGCCAGAGACATTCTTGGTAACGATGAGATATTCAAGATTATTCTCATCTATTGTCTCAATATGATATCCATTTCGGCGGATATCTTTACACTTAACAAGTTCCTCTTGGACATGGAGGAAAATACTGCATTATCTATGATAAGTATTGTTCCCCTAGAAAAAGTTATAGTAGCTCTTCCAGAGCCTTCAATTAGATTACTACAATCAGAAATTGTAGTAACATCTGCCTTACACATATTTAAATGAAAGAAATCTTTTTTCTCTTTTAATATTATATGTGTCGTACATGAATTACTTAAACAAATATTTTTACAATTAAACTTTGATCCAAGTTTGCTTTGTGAGGTATCCATATTTGCTTCCCATGATTTGACATACAAAAGAAATATACGAATAAAAATTAGTATTTTCAGAGAAAAAGGCAAAAGAAACAAAGTTAAATTAATGATTCAATAATGACCTTTTAATGCAATTTTGAGAAACTCTAATTATGATACTAATTGATACTAATAAATACTACTCATGTAAAGAACTATGATATTCAAAGAAATCTGCCACATCCAAGTGGGTGATGTCAAATTCATTGTCAGAGACAAAATTGGCTTCTGGGCCTTTATTCTTTAGAGATGCTTGATAAAGCTCACCCAAATATTTTGGTGTACGTCAAATATTTTCCCAATGGCCTTTTCTACCGCAACGATAATATTCAGTTTCTGAACCCGTTGCCTTTGGCTTCTCATTTTTTTTCTTTTCACTTTTGGTAGTTATTTTTCTTTGAGGGATGATTAACACCAGAAAAATTTCTTCCTTGGCTACGGCCATGGTCATGACCACGAACATGGCCACGACCTTTTCCATGCTTAGCATAATGGGAATACACCTCATCCACTTCAGGCAATGGTGTAGACCCAATTGGTCGATTATCGTGATTTCTCATGAGCAAGTCATTATTTCGTTCAGCCACAAGGAGAAGAGAAATCAACTCAGAGTACTTCTTAAAACATTTCTCTCTGTACTGCTGTTGCAGGACCATATTGGAGGTATGAAACACTGTGAATGTTTTTTCAAGCATATCATAATCAGTAATACTATATCCACTGAGTTTCAATTTATAAGTAATTATGAACATTGCAGAATTATATTCAGAAATAGACTTAAAGTCTTGGAGCCTCAGATGAACCCAATCATATCGTGCTTGTGGAAGTGTGACCAACTTTAAGTTATCATATCTTTCCTTTAAGCCATTCCACAAAATAAGTGAATCTTTGACTGTGAGATATTCTTTTTTCAACCCTTCATCAAGGTGATGACGCAAGAAAATCAAGGTCTTAGCACAATCTTGGGTAGATGCTTTATTTTTATCTTTAATGGAGTCTTCAAGACCCATTGCATCTAAATGGATTTCAGCATCCAACACCATGACATATAGTTCTTGCCTGAAATTTCAAGGGCAACGAACTTTCTTTTCATAATATCAGTCATAATTAAAAGAGGAGAAAAATTATACCTTAGTCTTCTCAAAAAGTTTCTTGAGATAGTAGAGTCTCGTGCTAATAACGTGTTATGGAATAATAGAAAATAAAGTAAAACAAGAGGAATTTAGAGAGAGATAATTAATAAACTTTTCTTGATGATATTCTTCAAGTGTTTGGGCCTATTTATAGGCACTTTTGCATGAAAGGATTTGGCCACTTGTCCAAAGTCTTGACACTTGTTGAAAATGCTTTGTCACTTGTTGAAAGTATTAACATTTGTTGAAAAGGTTTTGCCACTCGTTGAAAGTCTTGACATTTGTTGAAAGGCATTGTCACTTGTTGAAGGCCATGCCACTTGGCCATAATTTGCTCCTAAGTAATTTCATAATACATGGACATTCACTCTTAATATTATTTACGAAAAAAGGTCCAAATATGCCCTTGTACTATACGAAATTGAGCACATTTGCCCTTCGTTAATACTTTAGCTCAAATATGCCCTTACCGTCACATAGTTGGTCCATATATGCCCTTAGAGTTACACAGTTGGCTCATATATGCCCTTTTCAAAATAGAATCCACCCAAACTAATTAGCTCTTTCGTTAATTGTATTAAAGTGTATTACAAACACTATTTCCTTTTTATTAGTACTTTTTTTCTTTACCTTTCTCTTTTCTTTCTTCTTTTTTCTTTTCTTCTTTTTTTTTTCCCTTTTTCTTTCTCCCTTATCCGATCTCCTCCATTACTGATGTCTTCTCCATTTTCATCACCAATTTCACTTGACAAAACTCATGAATTCCAATTACTAAGAAAATTCTCCCATAAGAATATATTTATAGATCATATGTTTGCTAATTTTTAAATTTTTACTGAACATATATTTAGTTCTAAAAAAATTAACAAAGTAAGATTGAAATAATATTTATGTAACAAAAAACCCAAAAATCCAACAAAACCGAACAATCCAAACCGATATAATTGGTTTGGTTTGATTTTGATAAAAATCAAACCAACCCGTTCCATGTACACCCATAATTTACATAGTTAATAAAAAATAAAAAATGTCCATCTGAAAAAAGACTAAAAACTCAAATTTATAACACTATAACTTGAACTCTAGGCTTTTAATCATTAAATTATCTTTCTGAAAATAATTTAAATATTTTGGTCTTTTGAGTATTGTTAAAGGTTGAGATATTTTTATTATCTTAAAGTTTAAACTATAATTTTTAGAACAATTTAATTTTGTTTATTTAGAGGGCTAGTGAAATTGGAACTTGATTACCTTATGAGAGAATTTTCTTAGTAATTGAAATTCATGAGTTTTGTCAAGTGAAATTGGTGACGAAAATGGAAAAGACATCAGTAATGGAGGAAACGGATAAGGGAGAAAGAAAAAGGAAAAAAAAGAGAAGAAAAGAAAAAAGATGAAAGAAAAGAGAAAGGTAAAGAAAAAAAATACTAATAAAAAGGAAATAGTGTTTGTAATACACTTTAATATAATTAACGAAAGAGCTAATTAGTTTGAGTGAGTTCCGTTTCGTAAAGGGCATATATGGGCCAACTGTATAACTCTAAGGGCATATATGGACCAACTATGTGACGGTAAGGGCATATTTGAGCTAAAGTATTAACGAAGGGCAAATGTGCTCAATTTTGTATAATACAAGGGTATATTTGGACCTTTGCCCTATTATTTATAACATGTATAACATTTTATATAAGAGCATTTCATTAAAGGATAAAAAAAGAAGGCGTGCTATTCTTTTTTGAATAGACTATTGCTATATCTAGCCTCTCGCTTCTGCCACTAGTAAGCCGCACTTACAAATTAGCAACGTATGCTGGTTCATATTACATGATTAATATAACTATAATTCCAATAGTCTGAGACTTGAAAGAATTTTTTGGAAAGAATGTCTACAGTTCATGCGAAAAATTTATGTGCTATATCTCAAAGAATGTCTTTTTATGTTTTATAGTTATTTAACATTGCCTGACGGAAAGAAACAAAATTTGATAAACTCAACTCTGAATTCTGCTTAATGTTTGAATGGTGGATTGAAGTTAATATGTGTATAATTATAGTCTAATCCATCTATACCGGTTAGAAAAGATAAATAGTGAATTTTTACCGGCTTTTTTTATAAATATCTCAAAAATATTTAAAGCATATATTTGAGAGATTATTACACAAATAGCCAGTCATATTCAAATATTTACTTTTTCTAATTGATATACATAGATTATGCATTAATTATATATATATTCCTGATTATTTTTAGTTTAAGAGATTAAGTGGATGGCTATTTGGGTTAATTCTTCTATATTTGAACGGACTTGGCCCAAAGCCTTGCCTATAGCGGGTTGTATGTGAAACAAACGACTGGAGCCCAAATTCGAACAGTCCTTCTACCTAAAACCCAGTTGCTAAACCCTCCCCCGCAAACTTCCTCTTCCCCTCTATTTCTACAGAATCGAACTGTTTTTTTTTTTTTCCTTTTCTCCCTTTTAGCTCTGAATGATATCTCCTTTGTCATAAACCAAAACAGAATTCAATTCAAAGTTATTAAGCTATATTTGCTTCTCATAGCTCAAATTTGCTACACTAATTTGCATTTAAGAAGCAGCAAACCCATTCCATGGCTTCTTCTACGTTATCAAAGAAGCAGAAAAAGAGAGACAAATACTCACTTGCCGAGCTCAAAACCCTAGGTCATCAGCTTCTTTCTTCAAGAGCTCACGTTAACAATCTTCCTCTCCTCCTCTCATTCATCACCCCCACCACTCGACCCCAATACGCCCTCGAATCTCTCCTTTCTCTTCAATCTTTCTTCACTCCTTTGCTTCCTCAACTCCCTTCTTCTTCTGTCTCCTCCTCCGACTCCCAAAATGATCCTGAGTTCATTTATCGAATATGGGTTCGTTCCAAGTTTGACGACTTCGTTCAATCCCTACTGGATATTGCTATCTGTTCACAATCCGATGAAGCACTTAGAGTAAGGACAAGCTCGACTGTTAACTTTTTTTTTTTAAATTGTCTAATTTCAGTTGATTGTGATATGTGTGTTAATTGTATATTGGGTGATTAGGAAGTTGTGTTGGACACGTTGATGGAGTTTGTGAAAGTTGGAAATGGTGGAAAGTTTCACTCTGCTATTTACCACAGGCTTCTTCATATCTTTGTAAGTTACAGCTTATTTGGATGGTGGTTACCCATCATTTCATAATGTATAGTTTTGTACTGTATATTAATTTGTGAATACAACGTTTGATTAAATATAGTGGCCTTAACTGCTTTGTTGTTGCACTGGTTCTGTTATTTTTTTCTGCAAGGAACTTGATTGAAGATAGTT